CACCCCACACGGACGCGCACAGGGGGGCGCTGACAGCCGGAGCGCAGACGGCGGCTCAGGGAGACCCACTTTGCTCCTAGCAACACCCGCCGGGCGGCCGAGGTGTGGATGGACGAGTACAAAAACTTCTACTACGCCGCCGTGCCTTCCGCCAGGAACGTCCCTTACGGCAAGTAGGTGTCGCCTGTGCCCTCTGGCCGCTCTGCGTGGGGCCCTGGGGAGGGGCGTGGTGTGGGGGGGCTGGGGCTGGCCTGAACCCCAAGAACTGCCCAGGTGGCAAAGGGGGACCTCCCTCTGCTCCAGGGTGGGGCCCGGGAACACAGGCGATCCAGGCTCCATGCCCGCCCAGCCCTGTCCTGGAGGCAGGCGTCCAGGTTGGACGTGGAGCCCACGCGTTTGAACTCGTGTGAGAGCGTCCGCTTCCCTCCCCTCAGCATCCAGAGCCGCCTGGAGCTGAGGAAGAAGCTGAGCTGCAAGCCGTTCCGCTGGTACCTGGAGAACGTGTACCCGGAGCTGCGGTGGGTCCTGCCGGCCGGGCCGGGGTCTCCCTTCCAGGGTTTGGGGGCTCGCAGAGGGCAGCCAGGTGGCAGGCTCTCGCCGTGAAGTGGGGTTTGTGCCCTGGCCAGTTGGGCTCAGTGGATAGAGCGTCGGCCTGCAGACTGAAGGGTCCCGGGTTCGATTCCGGTGAAGGGCAGGTACCTCGGTTACAGGCTCCTCCCCGGCCTGGCCCCTGGTTGGGGCTCGTGCAAGAGGCAACCCATCGATGTGTCTCTCACATCCATGTTTCTGCCTTTCCCTCTCTCTCCCACTCTCCCTAAAAATCAGTGGGAAAATATCCTCAGATGAGGATTAACAACAACAAAAAAATTAGAAAAAAAAAGTGGGGTTTGTGCTGCAGTGAGGGTAGAGGTGCAAACACGGGCCCCCGTGGGGGGGCTGTGGGCCTGCCGGTGGCCTCACTCCTTCCTCTCCTTGCTCCTGCTGCCCGAGACGAGCCACCAGGTCGGG